CGGCTGGGCCGCACAACGCGCTCCGCAGTCCTGCCGCGTCCGGCTCAGCTCCGCAAAGCTCCGCAGCGCCTCCCGCAGCAGCGCCACCGCCGGTGCCCAGGCCCCAGCCGAGTAGGCGCGCAGCCCGTCGGCGTAGAGCAAGTCGGGGGCCTGGGGGGGCGCCCCGGGGGACAACGTGGCCAGGCCGGGGGGCTCGGGGGATCCCGGGGGAGGCAGCAGGAGCAGGAGCAGCAGCAACCAGAGAAGCCTGAGCATGGTGCCCGAGCCTCCGGCGGCTGCCGAAGGAAAATGCAGGAGCGGAGGGGGAGAGGAAAGGGGCAGGAAGAGGGAGGGGAAAGGAAGGAGAGATAGAGGGGAGGAGGAGAGGCACGGAGAAGGAATGAATGAGTGGAGCCAAGTGAGCTGATGAGGGGGAGACCCAACCCTGGGAGAGGCCAAAGTGAGAGAGAGAGAGAGAGAGAGAGAGAGAGACAGAGAGAGAGAGAGGGAGAGGGAGAGAGAGAGGGAGAGGGGGAGAGAGAGGGAGAGAGAGAAAGAAAGTCTGAGGGAGCTTGGCAGAAAGTGGAGGAAACCCTGGCCGGGCAGCTCAATTGGTTAGAGCATCGTCCTGATACTCCCAAGATTGGGGGTTAGATCCCCAGTCAGGGCACATACAAGAAACAGCAATGAATAGCGGATGGCTGTTCCTGAGTGCATGAATAGGTGGAACAACAGATGGATGTTTCTCGCTCACGCTCTGTCTCTCTCAACCTTCCTCTCTCTATGTAAAATCAATATACATATATATATCATTTTTTTTAGAAAGTGGAGAAAGCGGTCTTTAAGAAGAGTTGGGTAGTGTGGGATGAGAAACAGACCAAGAAACAAATCATAGACGGGGGAGGGCAAGGGCCAGAAACAGGACCATTGACACCAGACCCTGAGGCCCATGGGTGGGTGTCACTGCTGCAGCTGTGTTCCTCTCCATTCTTGGGAAAAGGAGTGTGGATGCCTCACACACACTGGAAAAACAGCTTCAGAGTGCATCATTGAAGATGGTTAAACTTAAGGCCTGTGAAACAAGTCAGGCCCAAACCCTTCCCTGCCCAGTAACTGGGTCCCTACTTGGATTTTGGGAAAGGAGGCATGGGGGACAGGGTCACACTCTAAAATCACCTCCACAGATCCAAACCAAGATCCTTCACACCCCAAGCCAGTGACTCCCCATGCCCCCAGCATGAGATGCTCTTATAAGCCCTTCTCTGTGTATGTCTGCATGTTTAAATTTGTCTTTTTTTTAAATACATCTTTATTGATTTCAGAGAGAGGAAGGGAGAGGGAGAGAGATAGAAACATCAATGATGAGAGAGTCATTGATCAACTTTCTGCACTCCCCCGCCCCATGGATCTAGCTCAAAACCCAGGCATGTGTCCTAACCGGGAATCGAACCAAGATCTCCAGGATCACAGGTCAACACTCAACCACTGAGCCACGCCGGCCAGGCTGTTTATCTTTCTCCATGGGTATTTCTGTGCCTCTGTCCACCGTCCCTGTTCCATCTTGTCCTCTATAAACCACTCCATCCCCCAAGCCTTTGGTCATACCCTTTGCCACCATAGTACACTGCACACAGGTTTCCGTGGTAACACTTCAGACTTTAATACATTTTACTAGGGGTGATAGGTGGTGAGTAGGGCATCTGGTCACTTGGATGGGAGACAGCAGGGACTCCAGGGCCCCAGATCCAGTGCCCATCTCCCTGGAGTCTGGAGACAGCTGCCTTAGGCTCAGGGCCAGGAAGAGGTGTTACCTACCCAGGCCCCCTCCTCTTAGTCCAGCAGGCCCACTCTGGCTCACAGGGTCAGCTGGGAGAAGATGGGGCTACTTGGGCCCCAGGATCCTCCCCAAGCTCTTGCACTCTCCTCACCTCCTGTCAGGGAGCAGCGTCTCCCTGCACTCAGCCCCAAAGGAAGTCCAATGGCTCTGCTATCAGGGGACCCAAGGGAGAGTCGGCGGGATGATGAGAGGCCCAGCGGCCTGGGCCGGGGAGGAGAGGCAGTCGGAGAAGGCAAAGGCGTCTCATCAATAAAGGTGGTGATCTCCTCCCGGAAGAAGCCAGGACCCCGTGGAGGCCCCCCACCTGACCCCAGAATGCCGCCTTCCAGGAATTGTCGAAGGCTGGCTAGCCCTCCACCTTCAGCCTCCTCCTCATTCTCCTCATCCTCTAGCCTTTGTCTTGGTCCCAGGTACGCAGGAGGGCCTCCCAGGGCCTGGCTGTGGGCTGGGAGGATCCGGATGTCATCAGAGGATGACCACTTGTGCAGGAAGGAGCCCGGTACCCGAGGAGTAGAGAAGATATTGGTCTCATCGTGGGACAGACGGCGGGATAGAGGGACCTGGGGAGAGGAGCAAGTAGACCCAGAGGTGCTGAAGGGACCAAAGTGGGGACTTGGCAAGATGGCTCCATCCCCCTTAAACTGCAAAACATCCTCTGATAGGCAGACCTGGTTCTGAGAGGACCGAAGGGGAGCTTCTCTTGCCATGCCTTTCTTTCCCTTACCCTTTATGTGCCCTGTAGGCCAGGGCTAGGGAATGAGGGGGGTGGGATGGATAACAGAGACTGGAGAAAAGTAGTGAGGTGACACCCAGAATAGGAGGCATATTCCCTAGTCCCATACCTGTAAGTAGTGGACCCTCTCAAGAGGGGGAAAGAGCATGTGCCTCCCAGGCAGCAGCTTCACCTGGGTGGGGTCCACTGGTCCTGTGGCCCCATTAGCATCAAATCGAACTTTGCACACTCGGCCATCTGCATAGTCATCACAGCCCCCATCTAGTAGAGAAAAGGGGCAGAGTGGTTACCAGTACAGAACACCCACTACTCTCCGCCCCCCGTTAAAGTCTCCTATTCCCTTTATAAGTTCCCCAGAGAATCTTTCAGTTCCCACTACTCTGTAAGCTCCAAGAGGAAAGTGAGAGCGGTTTGCTGCATTCAGTGCTGAATCCCTAGTGTGTCATACATATAGACATACTTATTGAAACAATTGTGGCCCCTTCCCCCCAAAAAAGCTGTCCCTATAGCTGGGGTCCCTTAGCTTCCCCTTAGTTCCACACCCTTCCTTTAGGGTTGTTAGAGAGTCTGGACTGTTTCTCAGGCACTCTGCCGGGGGAGGCAGAGCTGCATAGTGTAGACTTCCAGCGGGGAACCGACGACCCCTGGAGGGAGCCCTTAATGAAGAAGGAAGCGGTGGGTGTGCGTCCTGGCGTGTGATTAGGGAACGGGCAGCCTGGGGTCAGGCCACGGGCGGGCAGGTTCTGTCCAGCAGGGGGCACTCCAGGGCAGCCCGTCCCGGCGCAGAGAGCAGCTGGTAGAAAGGGGCAGAAAAGGGAGCCTACGCCCAGGAAAAAAGCACTGTCCCTCTTCTGACCGTCCTCGCCATCCTCCTCCGACATGATAGCCACGCACTGCTCCCACACCGTGCGCACGTCAGCGCGGTAGCGCTCGCAGGACCAGATGAAGGAGGGCAGCAGCAGCGTCTGTGCCATGGAGCACCACAGCACAGCCAGCACCATCCACGGGGGAGCCGAGTCCGACTTCAGGGAGAAGAAGCTCACCACCTGGAGGGAGGATGGGGAATGGCGCCGAGTCAGGGCCCAGAGCCCAGGGGGCCCACTTCACCCCAGGTCTGATATCCTAGTGCAGCTGGTGGGCAAGAAGTTAGGAAGGGATGGCCCGGATCACACCAGATCATGACAGAAGGAAAGTTGGAGGTGGGGACAGAATGAATTAGAGGGGAAGGGAATGACTCAGAGGAAGGTCAGGGGAGAGTACTAGAGCAAAGCCCTGGGTCCAGAGGGAGAGGAGCAGAGGTGGTACAGTAAACCTGAAGACAGAGAAAATTTCGGGAATAGGGACCAGATGGGGATGCAAAAAGCTGGGTGGTGGAGTAAGCTCTCTGGAGTGAGCTCCCTAGGAGTGCACAGAGACCCTGTGATATCCAGAGGGAATTAGGGAATGGAAAAGTGGAGTTCAGCTGCTGGATAATAGGTCTGGGGGGCTGAATAGTGAGGCCTCAGGAGAGATGATGGAGCTGGAGGATAGGTAGTGGGGCTGAAGGACGAACAGATGATGTTGAGTACTGGGAACTGGAAAACATGATGGAGCTGGGGATAATGGGAACTGGAAGATGGATGATAGAGGTGGGGGCTCACAAATGGAGCAGGAATGGGTAGAGGACAGGAAGATGGATGATGGAGTTGGAGGTCAGGTGATCGTGCTGGGACTGGTTTGGGGAGAAGACGAGGGGGACCCCAATCTCACCAAGATGGGCACCCCTGTGAGTGAGTCATAGAGAAAGACGATGGCGCTGACCAAGTTGGTGACCTGCAGGGATGTCTTGGCCGACTCGGAACCATCCAGCGAGGACCGCCGCTTCCCTCGGGCATCTTCTACCACAATGGCTGGCACCTCAAAGGCTGGCCGTGTACCCAAGCCCCCTGGCCCATTCCCCTTGACCCCACCCCCACCCCCTGCTCTCCGGGCCTGCCGAGCCCTCCGGGGCCTGGCCCACAGCGTCTGGTAGAAGGTAATGGCCACACAGACCAACCCCATGACAATGCCCCCAAGTAGCAAGAGGCTGAAGCAGACGCCAAAGCCGAGGCCAATCTTGGAGACTATGAACTGGCAGCCTCGGGCGTAGTAGCGCTCACCGTTGTTGTGCCAGCCAATGGAGGGCAGTGTGGAGAGGATGAAGCTGACCATCCAGATGCCCATGACAGCATGCAGTGCCTGCTTCTTGGCATTGCTGAGGCGGTAGTTGACCGGCCAACGCACCATCCACATGCGATGGTAGGAGAGTGAGGCGACTGTGAAGCAGGTGGCCAGGGCCAGTGTGTAGTAGGTGGACACAAAGACCTTGCAGATGCTCTCATTCCAGTCATAGTCAGAGGAAGCCTGGCGCCGGAGCTGCACCACAGCGAAGGTGGTAAGGGGCACAGCCGCCATGAGTATGTGTGTGCCAGCCAGGAAGCAGAGCAGCAACTCTAGTGGCTTGTGCTTCTGCTGCTTGGCAGAGATGCTGAGGATTATCCAGGCATTGGCCAGCAGGGCCAGGAGCCCACAGGCCAGCCAGGACAACGCGTTTGAGCGCAGGGAGGCCTCTTCTGCCCCTGCCCCTCCCCGAGCCATCCTGTCCTCCGCCCCCCCACCCCCTTTGAACTCCTGGGGGTGGGGGCTAGGTCTCACCCAGGAGCCCCACTCACACACACCCCCATGATGCCCACAGTCCTTGCCCTGTAGTGAGGCCGGCAGCCCCTAGGCCCACTCTAATGCTCAGCAT